GTACTACTCAGCAGAAAAAAACAATGGAATCTTGAAATTTGCAGGAAAATGGATGGAACTAGAAGAAACCATTCTGAGCGAGGTAACCCAATCATAAAAAGACAAACATGATATGTACCCTCTCATATATGGATTTTATTCATAGAGTTTACCAGCCTGCAATCCACACTGCCAGAGAAACTAGTAAAGAAGGAGGACCCTAAAAGACACAAACTTTGTCCCCTGGAGAAGGTGAAAGGGTCACCAACTCCTGAGCAAATTGAGAGCATGGGAAGAGGGGGGAGGGCGCTTTGAGAATGAGAAGGGAAGAAGAGGAATGATGCAGAGGTCATGAGGGAGCAGAAAGGTTGAGTCAGGTGTAGATTAGAAGAAAGGATATGTGATAGGTAGGGTTTTAGTTGGGGGGGTGGTAGGGGAGGAAGGGAGGGAGAAGGGAACTGGGATTGTTATGCAATTCAATGTTGTTTGTAATTCAAATAAAATAAATGAGAAAAAAACTCAAGTCCACGAGGATCAAAGCCCTCAACATATAATCAGATACAGTAAACCTGGTATCACAAAAAATAGGGAATAGCATTAAACACTTTGACACTGGGACAGTTTCCTGAAGAGAACACATATAGTGTAAGCGCTATGGTCAACAATTAATAAATGGAACCTCATTAAACTTAAAAGCTTCTATGAGGCAAAGGACACTGGTAATAAGAAAAATGGCATCTGATATAGGTTTAATATACAACATGTATAAACAATTCAAGAAATCAAACATAAATAAACAAAATAATCTAATTAAAAATGTGGTATAGTTGGGGGTGGACCTAGGCCCTATCCCAAAGTATATGATAGACTCTTATGACCCCCTATGGAAGGCCTCACCCTCCCTGGGGAGCAGAAAGGGCATGTGATAGGTAGGGTGTTAGTTGGGAGGTGGTAGGGGAGAAGGGGTGGGAACTGAGACTGACATGTAAACAATCTTGTTTCTAATTCGAATTTTAAAAAGGAAAAATGTGGTATAGTTCTAAACAAAGATCTCTCAATAGAGGAAATTCAAATGGCCACGAAGCAATGTAAAAAAAAGTTTAACATCCTTTAGCCATCTTTGAAGTACAAATCAAAACTACTTTGAGATTCCATCTTACACCTGTCAGACTGGACAAGTTCAAAAACACAAGTGGCAGCTCATATTGGCAAGAATGTGGAGCAAGGGGAACACTCCTCCATTGCTGGTGTGAATGCAAACTTGTACAGCCACTATGGAAATCAGTGTTTCAATTCCTCAGAATCTGGTAATGGATCTACCCACAAGACACACCTACACCATCCCTGGTCATATAACCAAAGAATGCTCCATTCTACCACAAAGACACTTGATCAACTATGCTCATAGTAGCTTTATCCATAATAACTAGAAACTAGAAATGACCTAGATGGCCCCCAAGTATAGAATGGATAAAGAACATGTAACACATTTACATCATGGATTAGTATCAGTGGTTTAAAAAATGGCATCAGGAAATTTCCAGGCAAATGAATAGAATGTAAAAAATCTTCTTGCAGAATATTTGTCCAGCTATGTGAAGATGTGTTGCATTTGTTTAACTATTAAAGATGTTTTGAATTTGATCAACTATGTAAATATGTGTTGTGTTTATTTAATTATGTAAAGATGTGTTGCTATTTCTACCTAAGGGACCTGATTGATCCAATAACAAGTGGAATGGCCAATAGTGAGGGAGGAGGTATAGGTGGGACTTCTGAGCAGAAAGAGTAAGCAGGGGGAGAAATTCAGTCTTAAGAAAGCAATAACAAAAGGAGAAAAAAAGGGAAAAAATAAAGGAGACAACCAGAAGACACCAGGGATCAGCCAGCCAGACATGGAGGAAACAGGAAAGTAGGACATACAGAATGAAAGATAAAAAGCCCCAAAGCAAAATGTAAATGAGTAGAATTAGGTTATAGCAAGTTAAAAGGATCAGTAGGACAAGCCCAAATTAAGACCAAGCATTCATAATTAATAATAAGCCTCTGAGTCTTCATTGAGGAGCTGGTTATTGGCCCAAAGAAAATGTTAACTGCAGTATTATTTCATGTATTCACTTACAAGTGGACATTATAGCTGTAAGGTTAACCATGTATAATCCATAGACACAGAGAGACTAGGTAACAAAGAGGGTTCAAGTGGGGCACATGTGTCTCCTTTGGAAGGAGAAATCAAATAGATTTTGCACATGGATTGGGGCCAGGTAGGGATGGGAATGTTGGTAACGGCTGTGGGTAAAGGGATGGAGAGAAAGAGTATGGGGAGAAACAGCTGAAATTATCCGGCATTTGGGAGGCAATGTAGAACCCTAATGCAGTGGAATCTTCCTGAAATCTACAACAGTGACCCTGGTGAGGACTCCTATTAATGGGGGTTATGAAATCTGAACTGTCCATCTTTTTCTGTAACTAGGAATGGCTGGGACACCAACTCATCCACTTTACCTTCATTCAACCTACAATCTGTTCTAACTGGAAGATTTGCTAGGGCAATGGTTGCAGAGAACTTGTGGGAGTGGTTAAACAGTGTCCTATTTTGAGGCCCATACCACAAGAGGGAGTCCAAGTCCAACCCTGCCTGGATAAACAAGGATGGACGCTGGATAGCTCAGAGACTAGGATTGATGCCTAGGCCAGCCCTCATCAGAGAGCTTGCCTCTGACAGTTGCTGGGAACATATGGAGAGACCCCAAACAAATGCCAGCATTAGAGAAAGAACCAAGGTTGTTCTCCATCAGGTCCCCCAGCTCTGAGGAGAGAGACAAGAGAAATAGTGGAAGCCAGAGTGGTCGAAGACACTGGGGGAGCATGGTCCAAGGAGTCAACTAAGCAGAGCTTATGGGGGATGACGGAGACTAAGGCTGCAATTGTGGAGCCTGCATGGGTCTGGGTTAGGTCCTTTGCATATATGTTATGATTGTTGGTTTGGGGGGATTTTTAGGGACTCCTGACAGTGGGACTGGGGCTGTCTGTCTCTGACTCTTTTGCCTGCTCTTGGGTTTCTACTACTGGGTTGCCTTCCTCAGCCTCAAAGTGAAGGTTTGTGCCTGGTCTTATTGTTATCTTTGCTGTGTTCAGTTGATGTTGCTGGGATGTATTCTATAAGAGAATAATAAGTAAGAATTTTTAAAGAGAAAGAAAATATTGAGCACCCCAAGACTGACCCTCTGTCGTGTGGTGTTATCACCACATATTTTTTATAATGTTATTTTATGTAATTTACTACTCATTAATGAGAGGTTTTCAAAGATGTAGAATAATTATCTTTTTAAAAAAGAATTTCTTTACAAATTTTACAAGTAATTTTTTTACAAATTATTAGGTGACAATAGCCAAAGTATAGGTGAACATAAGGAAATACATCTGGGAGACCAGAAATTATCTTTATGCTTAGGAAAGGATTTACTGCTCAGGTGTGTGTGATTGTGTGTGCAGAAGAAGGAGGGTCATGGTTTATTTTATCTGTATGGGTATTTTTCCTATATGTATCTGTACATTACATGCATAAATTACCTGAAGAGGTCAGAAGAGGGTGTTCAACTTCTAAGGACTGGAGTTACATATGGTTTTGAGCCACCATTGAGTGTTGGAAATAAAGTCTGGATCCTCTGCAGGATCAGTCAGTGTTTTAGAGTTTTTAAGCAACAAACCATCTCTCCAGCCCGAGATGTTTTGATCACATCTTAAAGTTTTTATTTTGTGTAGGTGTGTGCACCTTGGTATATGTCGTGCTCCACATGCATGGCATGCCTGCTTCCCACAGAGGCAAGGCCAACATATTGGATCCTCAGGAACTGGAAATACAGACAGTTGTGAGCCAGTTGATGTGTCTACTGAGAGCAGAACCCAGTTCCTCTGGAAGGAAGCTCACTACATGCTCAACCCACTGAGCCAGCTCTCTAGCTCCAAGTGGTTGTTTCTTGCTTCTCATACCTAGACACCACAACT